CGCTAAACCCCGATTAGAGAGGCATTATATGTACATACCAAGCCCAGGATATTTCCGTTCTGGAACAAACACAGGTGGGGCTCTAGGAAAAATGTTAAGGATGACGAGATTCATGGTAACTTTTTCCCATAGAGGTGTTTAAAAAAAAAACAAACTTGCATGTCATAAAGCAGTGAATTTTTTTTAAGATCTCATTTTTAATAAAAGCCTAGTGTTTTTTTGGTGGTTTGGCCTGGTAATTCTTATGGGTGACAGGCCAGCTGACGAAATGATGTAGGGTTGCTAGGACATGTTCCTTTTAAGAAAGGACTTGAAGGAGAGAGACCATTCCAAGCCAAAGGGGTAGTATGAGTAAATGCTCAAAGCACAGACAGTGGACAATGGGAGACAAAGGGAGGCGGGGGGGTATAAAGAAGATTGGAGAGAATTCAGGGAACAAGAACTGGAATTACCCTCAGACTGATGCTTTTATAACAGAGGGCTATTTTAGAATTGTCTAATTGCTGCTGAGTTGTTATCACTAATCTCCTACTCTGAAGCTGTAGGCCAGTGAACTTTTAACCACTTTAAAAGGGAAGGGAAGGGTATCCGCTGCTCAAGTTTGGGCATCAGCTGTTATAGTGCAACTGTTAGGTCTGCGTGCTCCTGTAGATAAAAGAAGCATGCCCTTGCCAAGTTAAGCTTTAACCCTCACCATGCATAAATTGACATTAACCTGCATTCCTACAGAAGTATGCTGATTTCACTTACCCGTTCAAACCTTTACAATGTATCATTTGATATATCCATACTACCATTACAATTGTCTAAATTCTGTTGAGTTCTGATTTAATCTGCCTGGTTGTCTTAAGTGAGAGTGTCTGGCATTAGACTTCTGCACAGCTAGAAAATATCTGATTTTTTTGTATTCAGGGCAGTCTGCCTGCCTGCCTTTTTCTCCAGAAACTTACATGGTCAGGTCCCCTGCATATGACTAGACCACTGTTTCCCAAAGGGTGTGCTATGACCATGATAGATGCATCCCATGAGAACCTGTTAAAGATAAATGTTCTCCTCCCTCATCAAGCATCCTGCACCTGCTCCCAGCTACTCCAGCAGTGCCTGCATGTGCACCTCTGGAGATTGCTACTGCCATTGTCACCATGCCACACCCCTTCCTTTCCTCCTACACTCCTGTGGCTGCCAGGAGGGGGTATGGAGATGGTCTGTGGCATGAGACCCTGTAGGAGCAACCTCAGTCATGGGAGCTACAGTCATGGGAGATACAGATCAGGGATCAGGATAGGGCTGATGGGAAAGAGCAGGATACAGGAGGGTGAAGACCTTAAGTGGCACCAGCTTAGATCAGTGGTTCTCAACTTTTTTTTACCTCAAGGGCCCCTCTGTATCTCTTCTGCATTTGTATTTATCTCTCATTTTTAAGTAGGAAGTTGCAAAATTCAGAAAAGTGTGCTACCAGTTTTAACCCAGAAAAAAAATGCCCCAGGTGTAGCTAAAGTTCTCCTTCCCCATCCAGCACCCACACCTGCCCTCAAGGAACAAAGAGGGTTTTTTTACGAAGTAGGGAGGCCATACCTCTTTCTGACCGAACAAAAAATGCTGATTCTGATTGAGGTGAAATCCTATTTGACTTTAAAATTCTCTATATATAAAAGCCTCTGCCTGCCTGCCTGCCTGCCTGTAATGCAGAGGCAGCGGGGTCAGCGTATCGCTATGACGGGGGTGACAGAGCAGACGGAGCAGAGTGGGAGGCCAGCAGCACTGGCCTCGCCCGCCCTGCCCTGCTCCTAGGATGCAGAGTGGGGACAGTGGGGACAGAGTGCTGCCATGATGGAGGGGACAGACCGGGGGGCGAGGCCGGTGACGCTGGCTTCGCCTCCCCAGCTCTGCTCCTTGGCGACTGCAGCATGGGGTGCTGATGGCGAAGCACTGGCCTCACTCTCCCCTCACATGACGGAGCATCGCCGTGACATCAGGGACTGGGGCCGGAGCACCGCCCCCCTCGCTGCCCTGCTCCTTGGAGCCAGGGGCCAGAGCGTGCCCCCCAACACCAGCCAGCAGGGGGGGTGGGGAGGAGGCAGCAGGGAAGGAGGGGAGCGAGAAGGGGGGAGGTTACAGTGGCAGCGCCAGCGCCACAACCATGGCTGTTCACTGCAGCTGCCGCCGGCAAGCTTTCCCCACCTCCCCACATTCCTGGGAGGCGGTGGCAGCAGTGGGCCTCGAAGGGCTAGGGCACATGGGGCCACACCCAAAGGGGAGAATGGGGGGAAATGGACCCAAAACAATGGGGAGGAGGGGGAATCCAAAGCGGGGGGGGAGGGGGAGCTGGACCCAACCTGGGGAGTGGGGGCAATGGCCCAGGCCGCGGATGGGGAGAGGGGCAACATGGGCTTCTGTCCCCACCTGCCCACCCCCCATCATGCTCGACGGGCAATTTGCTAGTACTTACTTAAATGCTGTACTAGTGGTGGGTTAATCTTGAAGTCTTTCAGACCTATATGGTGGAGCAGACTTGAGGGTAGTACTGTAAAGAGGCACATATGTACTGATAGGCAAAATAGATATATTTGGTGCAGGATTGAAAAGGCTAAGCTCTTTGGAGAGGAGGGGAAGGAAAAATAGCAAGGGAGGAGTTAAAATAAAAAATACTATGCTTCTGATGTTTAGCCTGGTCATTATACTTACGCTATATTCTCTTAAAAACAGACTTACAGTTCAGGCTTAAGTGCCCTAAAGTTCTAGATATTTGCTGTAAATGTCACTGTCTGTAGACCAATATTTTTTTTTTTAAGTAAAAGATAAAGCCTGACTTGGTGATCTAACACTTTAATAATTTGCTATCATAAAATAGTTTAAAGTATAAATGTTTTATGCTAGGCCAAGCTGGACGCTAAAGATGTTTTGTCTAAAACATGAGATAATGGAAAGTGTATTGTGGCATGTGAATTACTTTAGCCTCTTGGTGGTAAATGTTTGCTTAACCAGAAAAGAATGTGTTGTACTCCTTGCCAAAGGAAAGGTATTGCCATACTCTGTATTTTAAGTACTGTAAATAAAGCAGTAAATATGTTTCTGTTCATGTGTGTTAATCCACAAGTTATGAATGCATTCATTCAATAAGAAATGTAATATACTGTTACCCATTTAAAGGGTTTCAGTAAGAACAGGTTATAATTACTTTGGGCTGAGAGAAACATGAAACCAAATATTTTCATGATGATTGAAGTTGAATGTAAGAGAGAAACAGCTATTGCTTAAATTAAGGTTCCTCCAATCCCAGAAAACTCAAATCTTTGTTTACCTGCAGAATTTTCTTTTATCTGTGATTTCTGTGATGTGCTGTTCTCAATAACAAATTACTGTAAATAGCCAAGGTTATCAGTAATTTTTCATCCATGCAGTCAGGCAGTGGTGATCAACTTTTTTAGCCAGTGGGCCAGGTAGCGGTACCCATGCTGTCCGTGGGCCAGATCTGTCTGGTGTTCCCAAACTGGCATGGGGCAGTCATGGCAGGACCCATCCAGCTATGTAGAGGGGATCAGGGGGCGTCCTAGCTCCCACCTTGCCTTGCAGGGTGGGGTGGGAGGGCATGGCTTAGCCTTATAAGGGGAAAAGGCATGGCCCAGGCCCAACCTGGCTTCACAAGAAGAGGGCTTGACCTTATTGATTGCCATCACTCCCCGGCTGCCAAATTTCCCGATCTGTGGGGATCCCTGCTGGCTGGATAGATACCTATGGCTCTACAGGCTGCATTAAAGAGCACCCCTACAGTAGGGTTATTTGCAAAGAATAACTCCACATCATGTAAAGGATCATAAAGGAAATAGCAGTAAGGGAAATGCACGCACTTATTCTCTATCTGAACTTTATTTGCCTTTCAACTGATACAGTAGTTTACTAGTAATTTAATAATCCTGATTGCAAAAAGGGAGTCACATTACTCAGATTGTGGCATAATAATATCTGAGCATCTAATAGATGCTGCAGTTATATAAAGTAATAACAACAAGGCTTGCCTTATAAAAACCTTCAGGAAATTATTCTGTCCTTTTGGTTTTGTTGTTTACAGAGTCTGCTGAGTACATTGCAATAATAGGATGTAATTGTAGGGAATATGCTCAGTTTACTTTTTTATTATTATGGCATAATTTGTGCTACATAAGGCAGATGCCTGCACTGGCTTTGCATGTGCCCTTCCTGAAGGGGGAGGAAAGGATTCCATATATGGAAAAGGTCTGCTGACCCTAACCATGTGACCCAGCTAAACATACAAATAAGGGGAGTTTTTTTACTGGGAGTTGTGTTGGCAGATGATACTATGGAGAGAGGCTTTGGCAGAGGGATGAACAGCAAGATTTGTGCCCCTTCTTAATATGATTCCAATAATAGGGTTTGTACATTGTCTACATCATATATCCAACTGGTTTGATCTGTAAGATAGCTGCTCTAGATGCCTCTGGCATAATTTTGTTTTTTAGCAATGTCAGCCAACATGTTCTCCTTATTCTTTCTGTCTAATAAACCATTGGCAATTCAAAAACAATGCTGATAATATTAAACATGGATATTAAACCATTAAATATTAGAGCCTTAAACATGAAAACTTACAGATACCTCTAGTTTTAAACATGTGCTAACAGTGATGGATTCAGAAAAACAAGGTGAGTATTGAATTTTGTATGTTTCATTCAGAATGTGGTTTTGAGGAATAAGGTGTTTACTAAGAACTCTTACAATGTTCCTGTCTTCAAAGGAACTTTAACCTCACTCATTCCTACACTCTTAGATTATAAAATGATAGGAAGTCTTAAAATGTAAATTTTGATATAGATGAATAGTAATATTGATTTATTATTTAAATTTTGCTTCCAGTTGAAAATCAGATCTTTCCCTGAAAAATTACAACCTATCATTCTATTCATATCTGGAAAATAAAAGGAAAAACCTTATTGCTCACTAAGTGCTATAAAAGTTAAAGTAAACTTTTCAATTTCTTAAAGGTACAATCAGCTGGATACCAGTAAAAGCCTTCTAGACAATTTGAAAGACAAAGTAATAATTGAGTACCCAACGTTACTCGTGGTTTTGAAAAAATTCAGGAATGGCATGGTGGTTCTTGGCCAAGGTAAGCATACATTTATTTCCTGTTATGCTGTACTTGGATATTTTAGTTGAATAAACAATGATTAAGAGTACACCCTTTATTAATGCAAGTCGTGTACAATATGTATTCATGTCCAAATGTAAGGGATTGCCAGTGGGGAAAAATGTTATGGGCTTTTAAAAATGCTCTACTTTAACTCCATTGGTAGGTGGTTTAAAGTATAGAATACATACTCTGTTTGTGCTTACCAGGATTACTGATATTTGGCACATTTTCTGTAATGTAACCACAGCAGTAAAATAAATAATATTGTTAGACTTACTGTATTTAGTTGAATCCAAGACAATGTTTATTCACCATTCAATATGGGGAGGGGAAAAAAGCCTAGTCTTAATTAGGGTACCAGCCTAGGGCTGCTGCCTGACTCTGGGCCAGGGTGGTTGGAGGTGCCTCGAAGTGGGGAGAACATGAGGAAGGCCATTAGGGAAGGGACGTGCTTTTTGAACTTGCAGTAGCAATCAGTTGACAAATATCAAGATGAGTAATATTAAAACGTTATGGAAAACTGACAGGTATGTTTGACAGTTGATCTGTTAAACTGTTTTTTAGAATATTAGCAATGAATAAAGATGTGCTACACTCTATGGCTAGTAAATGATTACAGTAGGAAGTACTATCTTTACCCAAATCAAAGATGACTTCAAATTTGTGATGACCCCTTCCCCCCCCCCATTAGATTCTATATATGGAAAATGACAAACTTGTTATCAATTTTAGTGTATAGAATACAGCTATTGGAGAGAGACCTTGAATTCATTCCCCCGCAGCTGTACCAAATGGACCCCTGCTACGTCCCCTCCCACCCCCACCACCACAGTCAGTGCCCACTGCCACTTAGAATCATAGAAAATTAGGGTTGGAAGGGACCTCCGGAGGTCATCTAGTCCAGGACCATTCCCAACTATATCATCCCACCCAAGGCTTTGTCTTGCCAGGTCTTAAAAACCTCCCAAGGATGGAGATTCCACAAACTCTCTGAGTAACTTGTTCCAGTGCTTTACTAACCTCCTAGTGAGAAAGTTCTTGCTAATATCTGACCTAAACTTCCCTTACTACAACTTGACACCACTGCTCCTTGTTCTGTCATCTGCCACCACTGAGAACAGTCTAGCTCAGGGGTGGGCAAAATAAAGCCTGCAGGCCAAATCCAGCCCACTTGGATTTTGTCTGGCCTATGGCCAAGTCCCTCAGGCCCATCCAGTCCAGGCACAGAAAACAACCTGGGCCATGGCGCCGGTCCCACTACTTTCAGTCGCTCAGCAGGTCTGGAGTAGCACAGTGGCCAGACTCACTTCTCAGGAGCCCTGGTGGCAGCAGCTCCTTCTTGCTGCTGCTAGCCCTGGCTCTACTGCCTGAGCACCCTGGCCTGTCTGCCCTGCACCCACAGTCAGGGGTGGGACCCGTGCAAGCTTGGCATACAGCCAGGCAGATGGGATAGTGCTGCGGGCAGGCAGGGTGCGCTGTAAAGGAGCGGGAAGGACAGGTGAGGCTGGGATCTCCAGCTGGTGACACTGCGGGGCTGGGGCCAGAGCACAGTCATGATCCAGTGCCCTTATGCTCCTGCAGCAGGTGCCAGTTCTTCTAGCAAGAGCATGTGGGGAGTGGATTATGGCTCTGCCCTAGGACCTAATCCTGTGCTGTCCCAGGGTCTCCATGGACAGGATAGGACCCCTTAGGGAGTTTTGGTGAGATGCTATGCAGTGGGGAGGCTGCTGACCTAGACCACAACAGTTCATCAAAACTCCCTATGTGCCTCACAGACCCAAATAATTGCACACCCCTGATTTAGCTCCATCCTCTTTGGAACTACCCTTCAGGTAGTTGAAGGTTGCTTTTAAATCCCCTCCGTCTTCTCTGCTCCAGACTAAATAAGCCCAGTTCCCTCATCTCCTCATAAATCATGCGTCTCAGCCCCCTAACATTTCTAGTGGTGAAAAATTTCCACCACTAGAAAGAAATGCCTGTTTGTGGCCCTAGTTTGAATATAGCATATTGGTCATTAAATGTACTATTGCCTGATGAGCTGTTCAAATGAGGTTTTAAATAAACTTCAAAAATTTGAAGCACTGCTGTCATGTTGTAAGAGTACAGTATAGAATGGGTCAAGGGACAGTGTTGGCTGCCTCCCAGCAGGAACTGGAGGAAATGCTGATAACTCTCTGAGACAACAAGAAAATTTATTCAAGAGAATGACCTTCCTCTATTTCAGAGATTTGTTTAAGAAAAAAAAAAAAGTGGCCCTCTTAAAGGCCTATATTAGGTGACATAATCAGCTGCTACACATTAAGAAATCCATGAATATGTTTAATCTTTGTGGCTGTTTTTATGCATGCTAGTGGCGACATAAATTTGAGAGTCCAGCTCCCTACCATAAGAAGCTTTAAAATGTAATTAGATACAACACAGCAAAGGATAATAACTAAATAGGGATGGAAATGAGTGTTGTGATTGTGAAAGATCATGCTATTTTTACCTTTGCACATCTCATTAGGTGACTTATTGTTAATAATGCATTCCAGCCATGAGCTGTGCTTGACCTGAATGGCCCTGGAAACCATAATAAAGGAGTTGCTACCTAAACCCTAGTCACCTGGTGGATAGGAGGAAGAAGGGGATATAGGGAAAAAAAACACTTTTCTTTTTTAGTTTAAAAAGAAAGTTCATTTACTGATAATACTCCTACAGTACATCCTTAGTTATCTAAATGGAAACTTTTTTACTAAGTTGTAACTATGGATATTGTGTAAGAGTCCTCCTCTTTTTAAGCTTTATTTCATGCTGCCGCTGTTCTGCCTCTTGCAGGAAGTGGGTGGGGGGAGGGAGCGGGCTGCTGGCCTCAGCTCCCCCACCCCCTGTCCAGTTTCACACTCTGTCTGGTCCTCGGCACGGCTTCAGAATCATGCCAGCACTCCCCCATGCTTGGAGCACTCTGATTGGCTGTTTCCATCACCCTGTCAGCGCGAATAAAGCATTACAGACAGACAGACTTAGACTTTTAAAATATTAGAATACTACTGCATCTCTACTCTTCAATTTGATACAGTATTGTAACTTAATTATTGGTGTTTTGCACCTTTCATTTACAAGCTTTATTTAATGCAAAACTATCATCTCTGTTCTTCAGTGTGATACAGTAACTTGCAACTGTTTCACTTTTCTGAACAAATGTAGCTCTGAATTATTTTTTAGCTATTCTTTCTGAAAGAGAACAAGTGAGGATGTACTATTTTTAAAATATGACTGTGCAGTTGGGGGGAATGCAAAATTAGAAAAGCTACAGAATTTATGACTGCTTTCTTTTGAGTCTAACTTTCAAAACCAAGTATTAGAATTCATTTTTAAATGGTTTAAAACAATTAACTTCGTAGGACATCCAGGTGCTACTGTTTTTATAATTACGTAGAAATCTACTGAACATACAAAGTAAGCTAGGAAAAGAGATGCATAATAGCCTTGCTTGAGATGACATGTCCATCTATGTATAGAAATAAACTTTAGATTCTTTGTGTTGAATGTTATACATGTAAATATATCATTATGTTAAATTATCCATATTAATTTTTTGTAATTATTTGTGCCTTCCCAGATGTACACAGAAAACAGTAATACACTCCCAGTTTCCATTAACCAAAAGACATTTGTCTTTTCATGTTACCAATACCACAGGAATTGCATCTTTTATTTTTGAATGTACTTCGTTCAGCGCAGTTTTAAAAAAACCAAACGTTTTCAGTTGTGCTTAACCTTTCACTGAAAAGTTTTTGAACTCTTAAGAGAGAGTATCCTTGGGAAGTTAGTAGACTGCCAAATACCACTGTGGGATTATATATTAGAAATGGAAAATAAATCTTCCCTCCCAATATCCTGTAACTGTTATTTCTGGTCTCCATCTCCAATGTGCATGTTAGTTTTTCTCATTCTCTTCCCCAGAGTTTCAGAGTTTGGATGATAAAATGTTGTCTTTCTATCTTCCAGAATATAATCTTAATGTAAAACATTTACTGAATATATCAACTTGGGATATTTATATCTATAATACCATTTTTGTATAATACCCAAGTTGAACTGGCATGTTCAGAATGTGAGAGTCTTTGGAGCATAATTTATTGTTGATACTATATACCTGCCATTTCTAGTAACATAATGGTGTATGTTTTTAAGGGACCTGCAAAAAAGGGGGAAAAAATCCATTAGCTACTTTTTAGCCTTGTAATAACATACAAGGAAGATCTGAAATATGGAATTTTAAACATTTTTTTGTGCTTTTCACCTTAATATTAAGGATGTCAAGTGTAGTTTGATTTGCTTTTACTGAAGGATTTCTTAGAGGTCGCACATGTACATTGTGATCCATGACCCTTAATTGAAAGGGTTGGGAGAGTTAGAGCTTTACCATTTTAATCTTTTATTCTTTTTTATCTCAACTGTCTATTCTGTTTAAGTTAAATAGGTGTTAACAAAAACATACTAAAACTTGTTCTGATGTTGGATCTTTTAGTTCCCAAATGAACTAGTCCATGGAATCTTTCAGGGGAAAGTAGGAAGATGGACCTGAATATAAAAGCAGAAGGGCTGGGTTTTTGTTTGTTTGCTTGTTTTTTTCTGTTAAAAATAATGAAGAAGTGGGGCACAAAATCCTACTTTGCTTTTTCTTTGTATTTCATCTTGAGGAAGTGAGAGAAAACAGCATCCAGTTGCAGTGACCAGAATTCAGATCTCTTTGAGCTAGTCCAGTATTAGCTCAGTATGCAGGGGCTGGGGTGGTGGTGGTGCTAAGGCATGGTTGGCAATAGAGGTGTGCGAAGCGGACCGTATTAGATTCGGATTTGGCCCAATTCAGGGGACAGTGATTCAATTCATTGAATTCAGATCACTGTCCCGATGCAATTCAGTTGAATCTGAATATGAAGCTTCGATTCTGATTCGGAGAATCAGCAATTCGTCTATAGACACAGCTTTAAATGTTTTTTCTATGTACCTCAAGGTACCAGGTGGCTTGTGAATGTGTCCCACAGGAGCGCGGGCGGGGGGCGGTCCCCCAGCGCGAGCGGTGGTAGACCCAGAAGTGGACTGGAAGTCCTTCGGGTCCACTTCTGGGTCTACCACCGCTCGCGCTGGGGGACCGCCCCCCGCCCGCGCTCCTGTGGGACACATTCACAAGCCACCTGGTACCTTGAGGTATATAGAAAAAATATATAAAGTTGTGTCTATGTCCGAATCATCAAGTCTCTCCAATTCAATTCAGAAGCTTCTGATTTCAATTGGGAGAGATTAATGGGTCTCCTATTCGATTCGGCTTCAGAGATTCGGCTGTCAAATTGGGCCGAATCTCCACCGAATCGAATCAGCAACTGAAGCTTCACACAGTCCTAGTTGACAGCTCAGAAGTCGCAAATTCAAGGCCATAGCAGAAGCGCTCATGGCACAGCCTTTGTCAAATTCCAATGAATCTGTGAATTCTGGTAAATACCTTGTCACAGATGCAAAAAAGGAAAGGAAAGCTCAGTACACAATTGTGCCTCATAATAAATATAAGATCTTGCATTTTTCCAAAGAATGGATAAAGTAAATGACTTCATTTCCTCTACTTTTTTTGTAGCTGAAGGCAGTTGTAACTTTGAAATTAACAAAATATTTTTTTACCAGGTACTGCATCTGCTGGTCCTACTCCTGCCATGGAGCCATGCAGATCCAGTAGAGGCTGCCTTCATTGTACACATGCTCTGGCGGCTGTCTGCTTGTCTTCTTCCAGTAAACACCCCCAGTACAGACAAGACCTCATCTTGTTTCTTTCCCGTCTTCACGAACGCAGTTACTGCTTTTCAGGCTCCTTTAAGTCCCACTCTCCATGCCCAGCAGGTCCTAGTCTCATTCCTTCAGACTTCCAGTCACATCCTTCTCCTCCCACTGGGGTCCTCATCCCAATCTACTCTCCTGTACCTTGATGCAGCCCTTGTTCCCTATATTCAAATCTGTGGCATCTTACTCCTTAAAAATGCCTGGGCCCAGCAAGTGGATTATTGAGATACAGGTATCGATATCCTTGCTTTTGTTTTAGGAGCCCAGAACTGGCACTTCAGTTATTGCAGGGAAAGTCCTACGTAGCCCAAGGCTGGAACATGTGCACTACAGGTGGAATGTTTTAGGGATTTAGTTTGCAAAGTGTAAGTTTCTACTGAAAATAAGCAAATTGGGATTTTTTTTTCCCCCAGAGTTTTTAATGGAGCTAAATTTGGACTTATCTTTATGAGTCAGCAAAAGGCACAGCTTTGACAAAGGTCACCCTTCCCTGCTTAAAAAACAGAAAGGTGCCAGAGCTTTTCAAGGGAAAGTTTTCCAGAATTTCTGGAAATTGATTCATAATTTTTTTTCATATTCCTGTTCTGAGAAATGATTCGGGTATTTTGGCTGAAATTTTCTGAATTTATTCAGCCTAGGGCAAACACCTAGCATTGAAAATATCAGACCCAAACACTTAAATATTAGCAAAATTATGTGCATCTGATTGAATTTTTACAAGTGTTGGGAAGTGTGCAACTTTAGTATAGCCCTGCTAGCAGGCCGTCTACAGTATACTATTTGTAATGGAGTAAAAGCAGTACATAGTACTCGTATTATAAAGGACTTCCCATAACAAAGCAAAAATAATTTACTACCTAAACATTGTCTGTTCAGTATCTTTGTGAGTCAAATTATCAAACTATTTTCTGTGAAGTTGTAATGCTTGACTTGCTTAAAGAAGAAATTCAGGTGTTCTGCTTTCAGGATACAAGGTCAGTCATGGCTGAAGTTAGTAAGGGATTACAGAAGTTTTAACAAGACTTAGGGGCAAAAACAACCCTCACTTTGAGCATTACTCAGTACATATCTAGCATATAAATGTTAATTGATTATACACTAGATTTAATGTGGACAAAATGTGACCTCTGATGTTTCTGGGTGAAATGCTTTTATTTTCTTGACCAAATTCCATTGAAACTGTACAGGTGCACTCTGTTTCATGTATTATCTATGCCTGCCAACTATAGGACATAAGATAGCAATGATACTCCATTAGCTCTGTCTTTGTAGTATTTCTTTTATTAAAGATCAGCTAATATCAAATGCCCAGAAAACCTATTTGAATTCATCAAAAGGTCAAACATTGAAAATACCAATCAGAGGGGGATTTGCATCACGGCCTTATTTTGCAGTAGTTTATTTTTATATTGCTTATGTGCTGGTGCCACAGAGTGCTGGCATCTGGTGACCTCATCTTAGAGTGGGAGCGGTCAGTGTTTGCTGAGGCAGAAGAACTGGGAAAGGGGGAATACCAGTGTGGGAAATGAATGCTGAATAATGTGATGTCGCTAGAACATTGTGGGTTTCTCCTACAGCACTGGGTATTCTCAGCCCATAGCTTCATCTTGTTTGGCTCTTGGGATTATTCAGCCTAAACCCAGCTTGGGTTTTTAAATGCGACTCTCATAAATGTTACCTTTAATTTTCCAACTTAAAACTATCCAACAAAATTTCTCGACAGTTCCTTGGCTTAAGACGCTGATAAAACTGCAAATGATGCTAATGCATTACATTTGGAATACAAATTTGTAGTAGCCAAGAAAATAATATTCCAAAACAAATTAGAGGAAGGAACAATTTAAACTTCTCAGTGGGTGGAGAATAGTTATAAGGGACACACATTCAGTATAACTGCTTGACAAAGAGCAGCAAAGACTGAGGAAATCCATGAGCTCTATTTTGTTTCATCTTGCAACAGTGAGATCCATGTCAGGGCCAGCAGTTTGTCAGCATAATCTCACTTATAAAATAATAGTTCTCCTAATATCTAGTAGAGGACAACAAAATGTAGTCTTTCAAGACTTTTATCTTTCTTAAGCACTCTTGTGCCATGAGTACATGAGTAAACAAGTAAGAAATGAACAAATCTGCAGTAACTAATTGCCTGTCTGTTTTTGTACCCTCAGATGCCAGTGACTCCAGTGAAGGCTCGGACAGTGATAGTTCATCCCTCTCCTCTCTGGAAGAGGGGGAAATACGGGATTGTTCCTGAAAGATGTATTTTGACAAAAGGGGTGGGGTCAGTCGACCTATTATCTGTATTCTTATATCATTAAATCCATTTTTTACAGAATTTACTTTTCTGTTAGACAGTGATTTCAAAATCATGAGCTAACTTTTGGTCTCTATATACTTAGTATTTAAATAGGTGAACAGTTTGGGAATTTTCTGATTTTTTGAAAATCCAACTATTTATTTCACAGTGGGCCTTTTTTCCTTTTAAATGTCTGTCTCTCATAAATATTTGCGCACACATAAGAACGACACACATGTTAGCTTGTGTATTAATCTTGGATAAATAATTTTCTTTTATTTTAACATCCCAGTTTCATACTTCAAAGAATTGTAAGTGTCCACTTATTTAGATGAATTTAGAAGCCTTAACTCTAGGCTAGCGGTTCCCAGTCTGTGGCACGGGTACCACCAGTGGTGTGTAGACAACTTGTCAGTGGTACGTGTTAACTGATTTATTATAATTACAAGTTTCCCCCGCTTTATTCGGGTTCTGTATATGCGTATTCACTCTTATGCGAGTACCCTTTTTATACCAAAAATTCATTATATGCAAAGTAAATTCACTCTTATGCGGCTGGGGTGGGGGAAGCCTGCAGTCAGCTTCTTTGTGCGGTGCATTGTGGGAGTGACGTGCACCAAAATATAATCTCCTTTGTGGATTTGTGTTCCTCGCTCGTCTGTGACACGTGTTTCTGTAGTTGCCATCCCCATTATGATAGTGCCCTGTGCTTGTGAGTACTGTCTGCTGTTGGTGAGTACCAAAATTGTCTTGTAAAAGTGGTAGAAATGGATCTGGGGGTCTGTACAGTCAAGGTCTTGAACTGTATCCCTATTTGTTACATTGGAAGGTGAATGTAACAAATGCGAATTCGAGTTATGCACCGTTTTCCAGGAATGCATGTACAGCATAAAGCGAGGGAAACCTGTACTTCATTTGACAAAAAATTGCTAGTGGTACTTAATGTTATATTGTTTTAAATTGGTGGTGTGCAATCTGTCAGAGTTTGGGAACCTCTGCTCGAGGCTACTATTTTTTTAAACTTTAAAAAACTTTTTTTATCTAAATTGCTTCCTAGTTGAACTGATTTGTTGTGGCATTTCTCTGCAATGCTGAGTTTCCATATGCAATCATATTTTAATGGTGACTTAATTCTTATCTGGTAACAGGGTGTATGGTTAGTACAGTAAATTCAATTTTTCATATTTGTGATATCCCTGCTTAATATCAAATTTTCTCACATGCTACATGCACTTTTTACTCCCCAGTCAACTATACAAAGTAGGGATGCACGTTTTAAGTGGTGAAGCTGTTTTCTTCACTGGAAAAGGAGCATTCCTGGAGATGCCACGTATGCCATGCAGTTTCTAAGATGACTGCTACTTGTGTCTGCTCAGCAAATGGAATGGGGCAGAGTCTTGTTAACCCTCACAACTGTAGCTATTAGCTGAGCACAAGCTTGTGTTCACAGCTGCAAGTAAGCTGTTGGTAGCATCATGATGAGGCCTGTGATGTGGAAACAGCACTATTTACAGGAACTTAGATAAAGAAGTAGTTACATTAAAGAAGTAACAGTATTGCTACTGCCCTTTGCAAGGGTTGGGGGCCTAACCTTGTGTGATGTAGAGCAGTAGTACTCAACCTTTTCGCCCCGTAGGCCAAATGAGTTGCACGGACCTGTCTGCAGGCCAGATTGGGCCCTGGGCCCCAGCAGTCCCCTTCCTTGCCCCATGTGCTGGGATTAGATTTTAGGGATCTGTTACTGCCTTCTCCCACCCTCTGCACACCAGGATTAGGACCCAGGGATCCAGCACCACTCCCTTCTGACACTTGCCAGGATTGCACTGCACACTGGGATCAGGACTGGATCCAACACGGAGGATTCAAAGCTCCTCATGGGTCTGTATATTTGACAGCAGGAGAGAGATGGCACAGCTTCTAGCCGCCAAATTTCTAAACACGTGTGGAACCCGTGCAGGCCAAGTGACACGATGCCGTATGCCAGATCTGACCTGTGAGCCAGGGATTGAGCACCCCTGATGTACTGTGTCCAGGAAGTATGATATCTCAGGAGATGCTCTGCCACCCTTCCTAGACCAGCAGTTCCCAAACTGGGTTGCAGGCTCAAATGGGGTCGCAACATCAGCAGATGGGGTCGCAGGGATAGAGGGCCATGGGTAGGGAGTGAGGGGCCATGCTAAGGAAATTGGATCATACTCTGGAAATGGGGCCATAAAAAATATGGGGTCATGCTGAGGAGAAGTTGGGAAGCACTGTCCTAGATGCTGTTTCCAGAAGAACTGACTTTGTCTTAGTCAGCCATAACCAGAAAAATCTTTTTTTCATAGAATGATAGAAAAATGGGGCTAGAAGAGACCTCCAGAGATCATCTAGTCCAACCCCCTACGTTCTGCTGTTCAAAAACAAGGTGGTGGGGGGGGTGTTGTATGCCAAAAAAATACAGTACATTGTGCAAGGTGGGTGAAAACTGTTCTCTGGCTTGCACACTGCTGCCTTTTTGAGTTTTTATCAAGATGTTTCAAATCAGGATAAGTTTCTGAAAATCATGGAACTCAATGTTTGCTGTCAGTAACACTAATACATTTGTGACTGATAAACACTCTATTTTGTGCACCTTGAATTATGATTTCATTCTTTGAAATCAAGTCTTGTAAATATGTCCAAGATTTACTGAAATTTCAGCTGTGATTTCTGTCATTTAAAATAGTCCATAAAAAGTGCTGTATAGAGATCTCTAACAAGACACCTGCTGATGGTGTCTGTTGTAATACCCTGCAACAGGTTTTAATCTCTATCCTGGGTTTGATCATTCCAGTCCATATTTGACTAAGACCCCATGTCTGTGGGATCTGGTATAGCAGGGGCTAGCAACCTATGGTTCACAGGCCAAATTTGGCCTGCAGTCTTGAGGCTTTGGCAGCATTCAGTGGCAGGGAGCTTCAGTTGCAGATGCTCTCTCTGTGCCACTACAGGACATGTGGAGGTGGCAGCCAGGCTAGCATCCACCTTTCTTCCCACCTGACTCAGGGTGGGTCATTCCAGTCTGCAACCAGGAAAGGTAGCCTACTCTTGTGCTATGGGATGATAGTACATGTGGTGATATCGTAAGCCTTGAACCTTCAAGCAGTGTGGAGCTGCTGCAGCAAAGACTTCTGGGGAGAAGGGGGCCACCATTCTCTAAGATCCAGCACCCAGGGCTGGTGCCCCACTTGCCCAACCTGGCATAAAGTATATCTTCCTCACTCCCTTGAAGTCACATTGGTAACCAAATTGATCATTTATTGTGCCATCAGTTGATCAAGTATGGAAAAGGTATTATATTAGTATTGAACATCTGTAGATCATGTGCTATTGCTTCTGACAATAATAACACCATCACATCCTCTTTCCTTTCTAGCCCCCAGATACATTTTTCCTTTGGCTGGTGTTATGTTCTCAAGTGATAGTTATAGAGGGAAAATAAGAAGACAAGTCTGGGTTTTTAACCTTTTTTTCTTCCCTATCCCTTCCTAAGGTTTTTTTTTACTGGGAGAAGTATTACTTTTATGTTAATTTAGCTTCGGAAGTAGTAATGAGTCTTTTTGAATCACTAGTGATTGTATGTAGGCTTGATAGCCACAAATTATGTTAAGCCAGTCTTGCACCTGTTCACATAAATATGAATAGGAGATAAACTAGACATTTTAATAAAGCCACATAACTGCCAAAGCTTATTTGAAAGAAATTTGTTTCATCTATAGCAGATAAGAATTCCTCTTCTTAAGATTCATTGCACATAGTAGAAATTAGAATGCTACAGATATTAATGTAGCAAACAGGCCATTTCATCTGTGTATGATTAAAGTTTGGCTGAGGCACACAATTTTATACTAGGTATGATTTGTGTTACTCTTTTACGAACTTGCAAGCTGTCATTAATTGTGTGGAAATGGTTTGTGCATAATTTTAAACCAGTCCAGTTTAGACTCTTGTCATAAGTATCTTTAATTTGTTTTTTTTTTTTAAATGGTGACAGTGTTAGAACAAATATTCTTTCACATGGAAATGATTCATTATTTTAAAATGGTAAAATAAACATGACTGTATAATTCTTACAGTGTTAATTAGGAATGGAATTAATCAAAATAATAAAAAGCAGCAAAGCACAATCTAGACTTTAGCTATGCGGAGAATAACTTGCTAGTTTTTAATAAGTATATTAGGCATTGTTTTCCAGATAGCTCTAATCCTTTTAGTGTGTAGCACTGTTTTACCAGCACTAAGTAGAGTAATGGTAATGGCACTGAATTCCCCCCATCTGTTCGAACAGATTTTGATCTAGTTTCACTGATGTTTGGCAAATGTTTATTTTGAAATGTACTAATGCCTGGGTTTAGCTAAACTAAAGTAAAGGCCAATTCATACGAAGATTGGCTTTCGCAGGTACTGCGCTGGTTGTGCTGCATGATGATGCGATTTGTTCATGTTATGGAACTTCCTAATATTCCTACCTTGCAGAGTAGTTTTTAATTCATAGCTTAGGCATTTAGGACAGGATTTTTTTCATTCCTTCCTGAGTGACGAGCATCAGTTTGTTTCCTGTATTTGCTCATTTCAGTTACTAAATGCTACATTAAATATACTGTACATATTTTAAAAGAAAGCAATTTAGTTTGTAAAGTGCAGACCCTGCACCTTAAGGAAAGTATTAAATTACTGATGCCTATACAATCTTGAGCTTACGTTTTTGTAATCTTTAATCACAGTACAACTTGGACAGTACTTAGTGCGTATACAGAGTTTGATATTTTTTTATCCTCAGTTTACACTGAGTTCTTTACTTTGTACCCTAAAGACCTTTCTGTTAATGTACTGTTTTGTATGTGTTAGTTTACATATTTTAAAGGGAAAAGGTAACCTCTATTATATACAACGGTAACTACCTGCTTTCCTTCACTTTGCATCATCATCACTGTTTAAACCCTAAATGTTCAACACTGCAACACAGACATCTATCACTTAACCTACAAGACTAACTGCATTAGCAGGTACCA